GCAGCCAATGACTGCAGCACCGTGTGAAACTCACAGAAATAACGGATGGTTTCCTCACTTTTGGAAGCTTTATTGGCCGGTGGCCTGGTGGATTAGCTGTACTGTACAGCTGACACAGCACGTTGGGCTTCTTGCCATCTTGTATCATTTTAGATGCTTAATATGAGCCTGGGGGTTTGGTTCATTTTATGTGTAGGTTTTTTTGGTCTTACACATTTTTTCCTACTAGAATACTGCCCTTTCGGTCCTGCTGGCTGCCTGCAGTTTTGCTGGTGACACTCTGGAGGCAGAACTTCAGGCATCTATTTTGGGAGTGCTTGGTCAGTTCTGGACTTTTCTCCAGGCTAAGCAGGTAAGAGAATTTGCTGCTCCAGTGGTGAAAGCATGATGTCTTTGAGGCTGGTGCTGCTTCCTCATGTGTTTGTTACTAAGTTGTTTACTTGGATTGGACCATTTCTGTAAAGCACAGTGCCCATCTGCTGTCAGCTGGTTTATATATGAGGCAGGCATGCGCTCTGGGAAGCGGAGTTTGAATTTTCCTGAATGTTATGTATATGGCGCCTTGCTACTCCATCTGTTACCTGGTGTCAGATTCAGACTTGCTTAATGGGAAGTCTGGAATACCTCATTCTGATTCATACCAGTTAGAAGTTTGGCCTGTTTTGACTGTTCATTAGAATGTGAACAAAACTCATGGTGATTTAATTAGTACATAGCTTAGCACATGAAAACCCACGGAGCTATATTTCATATATTCTCATATTTGAGAACAAAGGGGTAAGGCGATTCCTGTGCGACTGTATACCTGTTCGTGCCTGCAGCTGCAGTAAATTAAAAAGGATTGTCATGGTTTATACTCCGGATTAAAAAAGAAAGTGTGAGAGTGGGGGTGAAGAAGAGCCAACAGCGTGCCCCTTCAGAGGTCTCTTCCAACCACAGCCGTTCTGTGAAGACATGTGGCAACTTGTAAGTGAAAAGAAATAGGTCAGATAACCTTCAGCTGCTTACATTAGTGAGTGGAGGAAGGAGATGAGGGATAAGAAATACTCTTACTAAAAATCAAAGAAAAGGATCTCGTAAAACACGACTACCTAGAAATATTTGTATGACTATTTTAATATTTTCTTCTGCTTCTGATGTTTTATGTGTGTGAATTTAGGCTAAGAATTTTGGAACACTACTGTAACTTTAAATTATTTCTTAAGTAGTTACTCCATAAGCTAAAATGCAATGTTAGTAATATCTTGTGATCTGTTGAAGGTCTCAGATGAGCCATGTCTCCAGCAGACACTGTGTCTGTTACTTCACCTTTTGGAATTTTTCATCCAAGCGTTAGATGCTCAACTGATTACTCAGGTAAAGAAAACCAAAACAAAATCAAACCTTCCTGTGAATCATTTACTTCATGAAAATCAAGTTCTTTGTGATCTACTGAAATCTCAGATGAGTTATTTCATGGTCTGGCCTCGTAACACACGGAGGTTCCCAGTTTTGTTTCTTCCTTGATTACTTTCCTGGTCTTAAAACCAAGTACTTGGCACTTCGGTTAACACTGCTTTTGAGAATCCCATTACTCTGTAAGATAACTGAGATACATGGATATGCTATAGAGTATGCTCATTTCTTTCTAAAAAGCACACTGCAGCTTTCTCCTAGCCAGTTTTATTCAAGGTGTAGCATACCTCCTTTTGTTTTCAGTCCAGTTTTCTAACATCAATGTCTTCAAATGTAAAGATGAGACTGAACAGTTTTCACCTGCAGTCTATCTGATGGAGCTTTGCTGGGGTTTGTTTTCTGCAGGTATTTGCACTGCAGTCTTCCCTTTTCCAGTTGGATCCCCCAGATCATGTACGTCTGGCCATGGTGGATTTCCTCTCTTCTATGGGAAAGGTGTTTATACCACAAGAAGCACAGGTAAATATAATTGTGGCTGTAGTGAAATAATCATCAGTCTTTTGATGAAAAGATACGCTATTTATTCAAATATAAAGTTAAAAGATCAAGTTCATTAAATACATACAGGAGTGCCAGGACATAATCAATCTTGGAGACTTATTAATGGTCTATGGCAGTTCTATTTTTTATCAAGACATGCCAAGTGCATGTAAAATGTTTGGTTTACTTGTTTGCTTGTTGCTTCTCACCAGTTAGAAAGCACTGGCATTTGAACTTCCAGGAAGAAAGAATAGAACATGCCACCTCCCATACAGTGGGCTTTTTGCCAGACAGGGCAGTAGCACCCTTGCATTTCACAAACCTGTGCCCTGACCTTAGAGCAATTCTTCAATAATAAAGCACGATGGGAAGATACGCACAACTAACTCTTTGGAACTGATGGATGTTTGTTCCTCTTTCAGAGGCAAGTTGTACCCCAGCTGTCGTCTTTGTTTGCTTCTCTGCTAGCTGACCCGACCTGGCTGGTTCATCAGCACGCGTTGGAGGCATTCACCCATTTTGCAGAGGTGAGCGTGGCAGAACCCTGCATGCATGTATTTGGCTCTGTTAACTTTTATTGTGCAGAAATTCTTCTGTCTTAAATGTTTGCTGCTCCTCACTGACCAGTTTGGTTCTTAATATTACCGATGCTATTGCACATCAAAAGTAAGGAGGGCTAATGCCGTTATAAGTCATTTCCTGAGTGGAAGTGAATGAAGATGAAGCATTGGTTGCTTAGATTGGTTGCAACAGGGAAGGGACTGTCATAGAAATACATTTTTTTCACTTTGCCTATTCCTTTGTTAATAGGAATGTACTAAACAGCTGTTACTCAACAATTTTGACAGGAAACAAGCCATGAAGATGTTGTTCCTCAGTGCCTTAATTCTGAAGAAACGAAAAACAAAGTTGTTAGTTTCCTGGCTAAGGTATGTATGTTGTTGAACCATTTTACTGCTTTCATAGTTGATGTTGTACACGTCCATTATAAGCAGTACACAGCCTATGTCTACACCTGCATGGCGATTAAATAGGTAAGTTTAAAAGAAACTGTTCTGTTAACTGACATCTGATTGAACTTTTCTGCTTGCTTTAATCAGCAGAACTAACAACTGCCACTCCTCTGCACGCTGCTCTTCCAGTACTTCCCAACTTTGATTCAAATGCTTTGCTTTTCCCTTCTTGAACAAAAAAACCTATTAAAATGCATAGTTACTGTTGTAAGCAGCAAACTTATCTATTAAAAAGACAGGGATTTCATCATTCGGTTTGTGTGATTTCCTTTCCCGTTTCTCTTGGATGAGTTTCTGAAAGCTGAATGTATGTAAACATGTATGAAACATCTTAGTCCTTTTGCATGTTAGAAAAAATTCTCTTAAGAGCAGATGGCTATTCCTGTGGAACATAGACAGTGGGAATGAGGGGGTAGTTACCATGCTGTAACCTAAGGCAGGGCTTAGCTGGATGAGTAGTTTTTGACAAGCAGAAAATTAGCAAGAGAACTGATAGCTCCCAGTGATGCTACACCAAAGTTGTAGATAACTTCAGTCTCCTGCTGTTCAGAAGAGTGTGTGAAAAATTAGATTCACTTTGAACCGCATGTTAAGATCTCTCCCTCCCTCCCCTTTGTTCTGGCATATAAATTGAGCCTGTGAAGGTTGATAATGCTGCCTTGGTGTAGTTACCTCTCCTGTGGCCTTGTCGCTAGATGAGGCAAGTAGAAGAGACAACAGAAGCACGAACCGAACGCATGAAGCAAGAAAGGATTACCTGCAGTGCACAGTTTATGAAAACAACTGGAGAACCGGAGTCAACAGGAGAGGTACATGCACTTCTTTAAACTATCTGGGCTCTACTGTCAATCTGTCAGTTCTGGGAAGTATCTAAAGAGGTTTAAGATGGTCTTGCTGCCCTCCACATTCTAAGAAAAAAGGTTGTGTGCACTCCTGGCTCATAGTATTATACCTGAATGCCCTATACTGCCAGCCAGCAAGAACTCTCACGAGGCAAGGGAGTTTCTTGCAGCCCTTCTCCATCTAAGGGTTTTCTTGCATTTGGATGAAGACTGATCACTTATGTGGAGCATTATAAATGATGTCTCATGTTTACTTAAATCTGCAGCCTCTGGCAAAACGAGCATGTCACCCACCCTCGGAGGAGCAGTATAAGTCAGCAGTAGGCATGATGGAGGGGGCAGTGGAGGCTGTGAAGCTGCTGCTCCGGAAAGGGTCACCCCCTGCTTGGCTTGCAGTCAAACTGGAGGCTCTACATACAGCCATAGCCATCCTCAGAGACAGCGTACGGTAAGGCGCTCGGCGGGTTTTAGAGACAATAAAACAGCTCAGCTCCCTGTTCTGAGGGAAGAGATCCCTTTGTGCCATGACTACTGGAGAAGAAAAAGCTGTGACATAGGGCGATGCTCCACTGTACTGCTGGGTCTCGGTTAGTGTGCCAAAATGAACTGAGGTGTGAGATGCCCGCCCACCTTTCACAATAACTGGCTGGAAGGACTGATATGTTTTAATGGACACTATTGTGCATCTGAGCTGTCATTTTGTATATTGCTGATGTATAAGCTTGCTCTTCTGAGCTACTGTATGGTGATAAACATTTAATGAGATTGTATTTTGAATACTACGATGTTTGAATCTGTTGTAAAAGTTACCTTTGTTCCTGTCATGTACAGGTGACCAGGCAGTAGGTGTTTTTATCTCAATTTTAAAATACACTCAAGAATAACATTTCAAGTCTCTATACTGTTCTCTGAACATACCTCTGCTGCTGGTTCCACTCCACACTAGGGTTATCTTTTAAAAATAATCTTTATTGGTCACAGTTAAGAGCAGAAGGAGTGCGGTGCTTAAGCAGTTTGTGTTCAGTGGTCCTTCACTGCACAGTTCCTAGCACCTCTTGTGTTATCCACGGGCAGAACTATATAAACAGAAATAAATAAGTTGAGTAAACCTAACATTCATCTTAAAATCATCTCTTAGTTAAAAAGAGCCATTTCTACAGGCTTTACTTTTCTGAAAAAGAAAGAAAAAGGCACATTAACTGAGGAACTCAGTGTGACTTTCATTTATTGTCATCAGTTTTTCAGAGCAGGGATGAGTTCTGGAACAATCGCTTATACCACTCTTGGCCTCCAGTAGCACATCAGCACCAACACACCCATCGCGCTGATCCTCTTTCTGGTGGCGGTGGCACACACCGCAGCTGGGCGTATTGCTTGGGCGCAGGCCTCACCCCTGCAGTTTTTGGCACAGACTGGAAAGGAACATCCATTGCAAGAGATCGGGCCCCACGGGTTCTTGCTGGCTGCTGCAGCAGCAAGTGCCTGCCTTCTGGCAAAAGCAGTGCTGAGGTACTTAGCCATTGTATTGGGGAAGCAGCGACTTCTCTTACAGAATCCAACACACCATAAATTGCCTTTGTCTCTTTCAGTCCCATCACCAGTTAGTATCATCTTCCCAGTTCAACTCCTCCTCTTCACCCCAGCCTGCAGCTTCAGCCTAGAATCATGTAAAATTATCAGCATTAAGGCACATGTACTGTACTTCTGTACTTAGCACAGCCACAGGAGCCAGGCAGTAGCCCATGTGGCTTGTGACAGCAGAGCAAGACATTCATTCAGATGCTGAAAGCCACTCATAAGTCCAAAAATAAAGCATCAGTATTTGCAGCGTCCTGTCTTAAAGAACTTTTAAGTAAGTACAAAAGGAAACACCTTAAAAAGCAAACTAACAGGGAGAGTCTTTTGTTTTTCTTCTACAATTAAAGCAAGAACTGTTTGTACCAAACCTACTTCCCATTAAGAGCAGGATGCTCTAAAATACATGATTTCTTTCCCCCTAGGAAACAGCTGTTGCCCTGCGGTATTCTAACTGTGCCTTTGATCTCGCCAGTCCCCTGACACAGCTATGCCACTACAGTGAGTACTCCGCCTCAAAACAGGGTTGATACGACAGTGCTTCTTAAAAATCAAGCGTGCCATTTTTCAAATGTGGTAAACAACTTCAGTTTACATTCAAGGCTCCTCTCCCCATGCCACCTGCTACCCCTGTGGTAGCTCTCTGGAGGCTGAATTAGCAAAACAACTTGAAATCAACACCTGTTCCCTAATGGAGTTGTGTTCAGGTGGCAGTGTTGGGAGTGCTACCTCCCCTCCTAGGAAACGGAAGCAGGCTCTGGAGTCTCTGTGACAGGGCTGGAGGGATTCACCCGCTTAGTTTAAAAAGGTAGTTTTATAACCCTCTGGTGCTCTGAAATGGAGAAATGTCTCAGCTATTCCTTCACAGAAACGAGGCACCCAGAAAGCTTTACTCTGTAATCCAGAGGGTCGGGTTTTCCTACAAGAGCCAGGAGCAACGCTAAGTCCTGAGCGTCCTCTTGCGCTTGCAGGCTCCCTTCTGTTTGTGCATGGGGCTGTGCCTGTTCAGCAGACAGGATCCAGCCTTGGTTTCCCTGTTCAACAAACCAAGACTCTCCCTAACATAGTGCACGGCCTTTGCATCCAGGATACAGCAGCACAAACTAAAAGCAGGAGTTAAAACTCCTTAGTCAGTGCCATTAGTAGCTTACAAGTTAAGTCCACTCCCTCGGTGTTTTGTTAACACAGCACTCTCGCTGCTGCAGTAGCAGCCCTCTGAATTACCTGGTGCCTGATAAGATGCAGCATTCAGAGCTCAGTATCTTGTGTTCAGAGGTAAAGGCTCAACTGTACAGCTGTATGCTGCTGATAGTTCCTCAGGTTATCCACTGTCTGATTAAGAAGCCAGCTGGTGCTACAACAGTGCGTTTTGCTATCTACATGCTTTAGCATCCTCTGAAGTGTGCAGTCATTTAAACCCCTTTGCATATAGCCTCTTACCTCCATAACATCAGCTGCTGCAAATTTGGATGAAAACAGCACATTCTGGGAGGCCCCTTCTCTGCTGGATACTGCACCAGAGTGACTGGGAACAACCGCTTCTGTCCTCGCTTCAGGTAAAATCAAGATAGCAGATGAAGGTTTAATGTCTGGGATCATGTCAGCAAACCAGTCCAGCTCAGGGTCTTGCATGGGTTTCCTCTTCACTTTGATTGTGAATTCTTCTCCTAGGCCAGACTCCAATGAAGACTTCAACCTTTCCTGAAAGGGCGTTTTTGGCAGCACGCTTTCTCCCAGTAGTTCCTGGTGGTCCCACTTGTCACTGCTCCAGCTGTTCCCGGGGCAGGGCTTTGTGGGGGGAGTCAGTCTGAGGCTTTTGAATTCTTTGCTCAGTTGATGGGTACCTGGCAGAGGCCTCGGCGTTTCAACTGCATCAGCTTGTGTCACAGTGAGGCAGTTTCCCGAGGCCAGTTCAGGACTAGGGCTGCTGGGCTGAAAGTCCCGCGCTGCCCCGCGGCTCTCGGGGCCGAATTTGAATGTTCACAGTTTTCTCAGTGTCTGTCTCCTCGGGCTCACTCCAGTCTGGCCACTCCTCTGCTGGCTTTTCGGAGGTAGTCAGAGAGCTCCTGCTGCTCCCTAGTGTGTTCATGCTTCCAGGAATTCCATTCAGGGGGGACCGGGTGTCTTGCTCACCTGTGGAAGACAAAGGTGTTACATATGCATTTCAAGAGAGCAAGTGTGGAAATGGAGTTGTGCCTAAAACTCCTTGATGTCACAGGTAGCACCGGCATGGCAATAAGTCAGTAATGCTGACTGGAAAGCTGCTTCATGGCT